TAGAGCTTAAAAATTGAAAAAAAAAGAGATGATTTCCAATCCAAAAATGCCAAAAATCATAAAATTTCAGCTGGAAGATGGCTATTTTCGATCCAAAAATCACAAAAAAAAAGCTGAAACTGGCCTAAAAATCATCTAGAATATTCCATTTTTCTAACCAAAAAATCTTAAAATTCCTAAATTTTCAGTCCATGGAAAAGACGAAAATGAATCTGATGCAGTCGGTGAACGAGGCGATGCGCATCGCGATGGAAACTGACGATTCGGCGGTGCTGTTCGGTGAAGACGTCGCGTTCGGAGGTGTCTTCAGATGCAGTTTGGATCTTCAGGTAAATCGAGAATTAGAGATTCTTAGATGAAAAATGGAGAATTTTGGATCGAAAAATTGAATTTGTGAGCCAAAAAATCATCGTTATTTTCAGCAATTTTTGGGTCTATTTTGGCTCGAAATGAGTCTAATTTTCAGCTAGAAAATTGGAATTTTTTGGCTCGAAACCCATAAATTTGAACTATAAAAATTGAATTTTGGAGACAAAAAGTTCAAAATTGAGTCCGAAACGCCGCATTTTGAGCTGGAAAATTTGAGATTTTTTGCTGAAATTTCTGGAATTACCTAGAAAATTCAAATTCCCGCTGAAAATTTCCCGTCAAGTTTTTCAGAAGAAATTCGGCAAGGATCGTGTGTTCAACACCCCACTCTGCGAGCAAGGAATCGCTGGTTTCGGTATCGGAGTGGCTGCCGCTGGAGCAACGGCGATCGCCGAGATTCAGTTTGGAGACTACATTTTCCCCGCTTATGATCAGGTAAAAAATGTCTTGGTAGCAGCGAAAATTGACCCGAAAGGAGCATTTTTCGAGCTTAAACTATTCAAAAATCATTAGAATCGACTGTTTTCATCCTAAAATGTGACTGAAATTGGTTGGAAATTGATGTTGCTGTCTATAAATAGTCGAAAATTGGCTTAAAAATGACGTTTATCAACCTAAAATTGGCTGAAATTCGTTTAAAAACATCAATTTTTCGGATTTTTCAAATTTTTTTCCAAGAAAACTACAGTAATCTCAAAAAAGCTATCGTTGATTTCGCCTGAAGTAACTACAGTGTCTACATCTGAACTACAGTATGTTTCTGACGAATTTCGTGTAATTTCAAAACTACAGTAATCCCCCTACAGTAACCCCCCTACAGTAATCTCCTGAACCCGATGAAATATCCCACATACAGTAGTCTTCTACAGTAACCCATAGTCTAGATATCTATAGAAAACCCCGTTTCCAACTACAGTAATCCTTCCCGCGAAATTCAATTTTTCCCAATTTTGCAGCTCGTCAACGAGGCCGCCAAATTTCGCTACCGATCCGGAAACCAGTTCGATTGTGGAAAACTGACGGTCCGAACGACGTGGGGTGCCGTCGGACACGGTGCACTCTATCATTCGCAGAGTCCAGAAGCCAATTTCACGCATACGCCTGGATTGAGAATTCCACCACAGTGGCGAGATATCAG